TTGGGGGGGGGTTGTTTTGTGTTCTTTTTTCTTGTTTCAACACTAGAATTTGGATTTTTGACAGAATAACTTTGATTACATGCAGCTAATATCAAGGATTGGGAAACTACAGTTTAAAAAAATCAAAATGTTGAGTTTTGCCATCTAAACAGCTAGCTATCAGTACCCTTTTTACCCTTACCTTTTCGTACGCTGAATTTCGACCCAGCTTTGAGGAAAGTTTCCTTCATCTTTTTTATCCCAGTGACGTCACAGATTCCCGCCACCAGACTGTCAGTGACGGAGATACCCAGGAACTCTGACAGTCGCTGGATCTCTCGTGGCAGGTCCTGGGGAAATGGGGAAATGTTATATCAACATTGTTAGGTTGTTTAAGAGGAGGGATGGGTCTTGAGGGCAGGAGAAATAAGGGAATGAGAGTAATATAAAACCCAAGGATTGACTGTGATAATATAGAATTAAACAAATTATTGATTGTGCCAAAGAAATACGAGAATAATTGTCATGTTTGTACCCAGGAACTCTGACAGTCGCCTGATCTCTCGTAGCAAGTCCTGGGAAAATGGGGAAATGTTATAGGTTTGACGTCTATCAACATTGTTAAGTTATGAGGGGCAGGTCCTGGGGAAATGGGGGAATGCAATAGGTTTGACGTCTATCAACATGATTAGTTTATTTAAGAGGCGGGATAGGTCCTGGGGGAACGATAAATCAGGGAATGAGTGTAATCACACCTTGTCACACCTTGTCCACAGTGTTGGGGTCACTACAGTCGGAACATGCCCATCTCTGCAATCCCTCCCCCCTCCCCCACCTCTTCAGGATCCATCCCAGAGTCTGTCTGCTTATAGTCTCCATCATAATCTGGTTGGAGATCCGTCAGAATGGTCCGCACAGATGGATGTGTTTCCCTTCGCTTAATGAGTGTAATATAAACCCCACGGATTGGTTGTCATAATATAGAATTAAACAAACTATTGGTTATACCAACGAAATACGGGATAAACTGTTATGTTTGTACCCAGGAACTGTGACAGTCGCATGATCTCTCATGGTAGGTCCTGGGGAAATGGGGAAATGGGGAAATGCTATATGTTTAACGCCTGTATCAACACTATTAGGTTATTTAAAAGGCGCGGGTGGGG